AGGGGTCAATAGGCTCTTTGGAGCGTGTGATAAAAACAAATATATATATTCTCTACATTACAGAACACTGAAAGGATTCACTCTCACCACATGGACAGACAACGTTGAGGGTTTTCCACTGTTTATCTTTACGAACGTCTTGGTCCAATCGCAAGAGGGGAGTCAGGCTTTTCACAACTTGATATAGAAATATGGAATAACACACGTCAGCACGATTTAATCAGAAACGTGTGTCTAAAACACGCGTCAGTGACATTAGAACACGTTAAACAACGCATAAATCACACTTTTCGCTTTTTGTTGTAAGGTTGAAATGGTACGGTCCAGAGAGTGACGTAATGCGGGAGGCAAGTCTCAGCTAAGTGTTGTTTTCGTGGATCTTCGCCCATCGCCTTCAAACAGCAGCAACACAGGACTTTACGGCACTTTAAAACCTACTGTATCCAATTTCCGAAGCGCTTGGTCCAGTTTGAAGTCTCCCACGCCCCGCGACAAGAAATCATGAAATGGATGTTCAAAGAAGATCACTCCTTAGGTAAGTGATGGCGTCAATAGAGCTACATAACGCGACATAACAAAACAAACAGCGAACACATATCTTAAAACCTCACGCCAACCGCATGCTATCTTCATACTTTAGGAGGACCAGGCTAGCACCCTCTTCGCTGTTACACGCACTATTTCAATGAATCTTAGCAGAAATCCGCTTGTGACGCTAATCAATTCCCCGAGCTAGCAGGTCTCGGCTGTTGTGGGTTTAGCCTCGTCTCTGGGGCGAGTTTGCGGTGATGACACGTAACAAAAGTGACAATATTGACATGTACCCAGCTAAAACAGAGTCATATTGTAATATTATGATAATTCTGTGATCCTGTCGATGCTGTGGAGGCCGAGTGTTGTAATCCAGGCCTCCACATTACACTGCTCGCGATGTCACAATAATGTACTGTGAGGTTAAGTGAGGACTTGCATGCACAGAATACAAAAACCGCTTTCTGTATTCTGTGCACGTAATATGCAGCGGGTCGTTGTCAGAATACTCATGAAAGTTAAAAATAATGGTGTTTCTGTCTGTAAACTCTGTTTACTGTCAGCTACGGCTTCAGTCGTGTTGACATCCGTAACCGTATGTGACATATTATAGACAATAGCATGATTCATTGTTGTGTACACAAATAAGATGACAACATAATGTCCTCACAGTAACTCCTTAAAGCTGGGGTGTAACATTCAGACTGCATTAAGACAGAACTTGAATAAACCCTGTCTCTAGTTTCCTGGTTGTTAAATCTCCTACCGTTATTTCAGGTAAGGCAAGAAAGAGATGGAGTTCAGGAACAACACAATTTATTGCCTCGTGGTACAGCATCAGAACAACACAACACAACCTATCTCCTAGGTGTCATACACATTAATGCAATGCGTGCAGGTGATGCAACACACCACCATAAATGGATGTATAACACTGGTTGTTAAACAGTTTGCGTCTATCACGAGTTATCATGTGTCACTACATATCACTATGTATTCTTGGCCTATGTCAGATCAGCTTTTTCAGACAAAATATTGTAAAAGAGAGACCCTATGTATTTGTCAGCATCAGCCTAGCCTGGCCTTATGGTGCTTTCAGACCGCAAACGCTGAAGCCTCGCTCACCAGACGCACATTCTCTAGTTTTCAGACGCACGGGACTTCACACCAGAACGTCCTGGCCTGTGCCGGAAGTGGCGGAAGTAGCCGCCGGCTCTTATGCTAACAGAGTTATGCTAGCGGCTTGTGTAAAGATCTTCTCCAATAATGCAGCTCTGCAGGGTCTCTGTGTTCGGAGACCTTCCACGGACTTTATATAACAGTAGTATGTGTTCACGGAGGTGCGCAATAAGTTTATTTTATTATTGAACGGTACTTCCGCATCGGCGAACACACTCGAAGCAGTTGCATAAAGTCACGGGAGCATGACAACGCATATGTTCACAAGCACTATGTCCCCCATTGTCAACCCTGGTTTTAAGTCATGGTGTAGCTCCTGTTTTGGCTGTTTACAGTATGTTCAGTCTGCTCGCTCAGACCACTAATGTCCCCGTGACCACTTTGCGGCTCTCTGATTGGTCACTGCACGAACGTCCCGAGGAAAAGTTGAGCAAAGTTTATCTCCTGTGGGCGTCAATTTTCCGCTCCTGCTCCTCCCCTTCAACTTTCCCCGCACAGTCCGTTCGTGCGTCCCGCGACGTTTGTGCGTTTTGACGCTCGAATGCGCATCACCATTGACTTTGCATTGAAAGCCGCCGCGACGCATGATCCGGTCTGAAAGCACCATTAGCCATCCGTAAACTGTTGAAATGAGTACGATGGTGTGGTAAGACCAGGATCAGCACTAAATCATATACGGAATCGAGACGGAAGCGGAAGTAAATATAACAAACTACCTATTTATGCCTAAACTTAACCAGCCATTCCCATAAAATAACCCCAACCCGTCCTTAACCCTAACCTTTACCATTAGAAACTTTGACTCACTAACAAACTGTAAATAGGTACTCAAAACCCATCTTTTCAAACAAGCTTTTCCGTAAACCCCTTTTTTATTGTTTTTTATTCCCCATGTGAAGCGTCTTTGAGTGTCCAAAAAAAGCGCTATACAAGTTTGATGTGTTATTATTATTATTATTATTATTAACCATCTTTTTCAGACACCTAAAACTTAACAAGTCACCACTTAAGGACTTATTAGTCTAAAACTAATTCGAAAGTAGGATTGTTACTTCTGGTTTCGTCCCAATTCCGTATATGATCTAGTGCTGACCGTAAGACCAGGCGAGCATCAGCCTGAGCTAATGCAAAAATATTGATACATTTTGATTATCTTCAAATGAACTATTGAACAGCAAAAGGCCTGCTGACTTGAAAACCAGCTCAAGAAATTAACCATTAGAAAAACGTGTTGTGTATTAGGCCACTTTTCCACTTGCGCCACTACGTGAGTAAAAATACGCAAGCCTCCTTTTTTGGGCTGGACAGTACAGCTCAGTAGTCTCTATAAAGCATTACACTGTATCAAGGAAATACATGCACATTTCATGTGACGGGAAGGGCTGTTGAGGTGGGGAGGTCACGGGGGAGCAGCGCATTTATGATGGGGGTTGCGGGCTAAAAACTTTGGGAACCCCTGACCTAGACAGTGGTTCCAAGCGTGTCCAAGCTATACCATAACGTGACGTCAGCTGACTTCACGAGTGTCGTCTCTGAAAGCGACGTCCGACCCTATGGTAAAAACAATCTTTAAAACTGTCTGCTCTGCTATAATGTGTCCTCCTCACTCCAGATAAATGGAATTGCACAGAAAGCTCCAAAAGTCAATGTCCTGGTCTGTCAACGAGGTCCGCATGTTACTCTCTTAGGCCGAAGAAAGAATTCAAAAGCAGCTCGACAACATGGGGCAAGAAGGTTTTCAAGGAGATCGCCCAGCTCTTGATTTGTGAATTTTGTCTTTGGTAATCCTGGAAATAACTGGTTAGCCCATCTCGTTGGTTCTCACTGACATGTGTTTACTTGTGTAAAAGTTTGATTGTCTGTTGTACACAGTGAGTTAGCTACATTTAGATATTGATAGCAAGCTAAGCTAAAACGTCCTTGATGTGCTACTGTGCTGTATCTTGTGCTTTCACGTGTTGCCATTCTGTTTTGTGCGTGTACTTAAAGTAGCAGTATGTAATATTTGCATGTCAAGTCATCATTAAATGGCCCCCACATTTCAAAAGGCGTTATTAAATCATGCTCTTTTCGAATACATGTTTAACTGATAACAGTAGTTCAGCCGAGATATTTGAATATCAAAATTAGTTTTACGACCCGTAAAAGTTGTTATTGTTTTGATTTTGATGTCCTACCCTCCGCCGTTTTGCCAATCTGGGAGTCCCATGGTAGTCCGTGATCGGGTTGCCAGAACTCCGCGCTGCTCACTAATCTCAGTAGCCAAATTTGCTGCTTTGACGCCGTTCTTTAGAATAGTGTATTCAGTGCGAAGCGATGGTCTAGTGGTTAAAACTACGCGCTCATGATGCAGTAACCGGGGGTCGATTCCGGGCAGGGACCTATTTGTATTTAATTGCATGTTATCACATTCTATGACAGATTGCTCTAAATACGGTAAAAGACGATGCAGATTATAGCTTAATTGTAAAAAGAATCATTTAAGACTACATGCACCCCAATTAAAATAATGTTAGTTTCTTTTTTATGTGGGTCTTATACATGTTTGTCTAAAAAATAGGGAATAAATAAAATTGAAAGGTGATATCTTCTGGAGGAAACCCTGATGTTGATACGCTGTAGAAATACGTTCCAACATCCATTCTTCCCACTCCTATTTTGGACGTCAATTGCTTGTTTATTTTGGATAATCTATAATTACATTGCTTTTTATCTCAAATGTCCAAATATAAAAATAAAATTCAACATTAATTCAACATTAGTATGCCTCATGGCAATGTGAATGGAGACAGACAAACAACTGATAAAATAATTCCCTGTGTTTGCTGCTGGATTTGGTGTGTATCTGGCAGCCTGAGTCAGGGAGAGAGGGAGAAGACTACAAAATATTGAGTGTGACTGCAGTACCACTTTTGGCCAGATTTTTACATATTGTTCCTTTTAAAGGAGCTATACCCGTTTCTGCAAGGTTTGAATGTCCAGCACCGCTCCCAACTCGCTCACCGGTCTCTCATTTCCCCTACGCTCTCATCCCATAGAGCCATCTAGTTTTATTTGCGATCTATATGCAAACATTAGCATGAGGGCAACTTCTTGTAAGCTGTACAACAATCACTTATGAAATGGTACAAAAGCAATGCACCGCTGACAAAATACAAAACTGAAAGATTACCGCTGGTTCCGCATCCGAATGTAGTCCGAGCATAGATAGTCCGAGGAGGCGGTCCGCACCCGCAGGTCTTTCCCATAGACTGTAAGTCTCTCCAGAGGATACGTTGTAAGCTAGCTATTGTTCACCCGGGCTTGATATCTTCTTTGATCATTTGTTCGCTTTAGTTTATTTTATTTTATTATATTTTATTATTTATCTTAATTTTATAGTCTATTATCTTAAATAATAGACTTATTTGATGTGTGCAATCTGAGTGCTCTTATTTCCTTCTTTCTCTGCTGTAATGTGCGCAACGTTGACACTGAAATATCTCCACTGCGAGACGAATAAAGATCTTATCTTATCTTCCCTCTTCTCTTCCTCACTGTCGTGTCGTTTGGGCTGTTTTGCTGTGTATGCAGTTACAGCAAGAGGAGTAATAGCCAATTCTGCTAACAAGCTAATGCGTTTAGCAGCGCTGTAGAGGCTAGAGGATGCGGCCTGTTCGCTCCTCGTTCTGTGAGTGTAGGAGGGCGAGCGTCACGCTAAGTCTCTACTCAACACTTTTTATGGCCTGAATTCATGCCCAATCTGAATCAATGAGCTTACATTTTCAATTAAATTACGGATTATAATACAACTTGTATGTAGTAATAAGCATTTTTATTAACTCATAAAAAAATAAAAAAAAACGGGTATAGCTTCTTTAAGTTGTCGTGTGTCTTTTTATTTGTTTGAGAATCCCTTCCCACAAGTGAGATTACCAACGAGCAATGAATGACCCCCTGAATGGTCCCTTCACCTGGTCTCAAGAGGCATACTTACTTTGGATTTTGTAAATTGTTGGTTTTGCACCTTGGTTTTTAATATATGTTTGATTGTATCAAGACTTCGTTTCATTAATTTGTCTGTACATGTACAGAAAAGGTGTTCAAAAGCAAGTTACGATTTCATACCATATACTCTTTCTTCTATTTACATTACATAATTATATTTGTCAATAAATCCGTATAACCTTGGTAAATTTATGAACAAGGAATGAGACCTTGTCACATGGTCTCGCCATGGTTTTCGCACAGATTGTGCAGAGCACAGCAAGTCAGCACTATCGACTTCACATGTTCAGTGTCCGAGTCATTCCTTTAAGACTGGCGCTGTGCTGAATTTTCTGTTAAATACTTCCCGTTCGTCTGTCACTCGCCCGGTGTTTTAGGGGCCAGTTCTGCAGGGGGTAAGCAGAGTCCCCTTGGAGGTAAAAAACCAGCTATCACCGATATTATAATACACCCCACCAATGTTGCGAGTTACGCATCGCGCTTAAAGACCTTATGCAGGGTTTGATTGATTTAGAAATACAGTTTTAATACAATTTTATATTAGAAGAGAACAACTATAGGTTTCAAAATTAGTTTTTTTTTTTTGTTGTCCGAACCCCCCAAATCGAAATAACCCCATAGCAATGCCCTTAGAGACGAAAAAAATTCACAGCCCTTGGTGACGTCAGAGTGGATACGTTTCAACACTGCAAGTTGTTTACAATTTGGTATTTGGTCTTTTTTCGCATATATTTAACTCATTGAATGCCAGCCTATTTCAGAACAGGTACTCCCACAGTGCCAGCCATTTATGATGATTTTTACTGATTTTTCAAGACCCACAGAATATTGTGTACTATGACTATCTGAAATCCGACACCAGATCCTAAAAGAATGGACTGTCTACTTTCCTCAGCAAAAATAATTTTGTTTATAGCTTTTTTCGTTCCCCTGTAATCCTCCGTTGAGTAGAGGGAAGTTTTACTGAAATCACCAGAAATCACCAGAAAGTTGAGAAAAAAGAGGCACAACATGTGCACCTACATGTTTTCAAACCATTCAGAGAGCAATGCTGCCACCTGCTGGCTCGATAAAATATGGTCTCAAGTCATCCCCATACATATTAGATACAATAGACATCTGGGAACGTGAAAATAGCGAAAAAGGCATTTGATGGCACACGACGTTACTATTTGCTTTGACGTATTTGTGCGTCAATGGGACACAATGAGTTAAGATGACAAGGTACAGCAAATATAAGACTACTACTAGTGTATGTCTCAATGGCGCTGTGATAGCCCACTGGGGTTCAATTCTCATCTAAGTCACATTTTCACTCTCAAAACGGCAATATATGTGTAATGAGCAATTGAAACCTGTAGAGTGCAGTATTGTGTCGGACATGAGTGGAGAGAAGAGCGGATAGGCGAGTGTCTTTGGCATAGATCCATGGCTTTGATCCATTTCAATGCATGGGCGTTACCCGCTATGACGTCACACACAGGTTAGAGGTAGGGCTGGGCGATTAATCGATTTTAATCATTAATTCGAGTTTTACGTTTAGGGCGATTTCTTTTTTTAAAAATTCGATTTTTATTTTCTCCAGCGCATAACTACAGCGCTAACGCGCTAACCGCGGGTCTATGGTGTTGAGCAGTCATTTTGAAGCTAACCTAATGCTAACAGTCTCCCTCTGGCCTGATGCTCGCTCTCACAGTTGGTGCTGTTGCAATAACACTTCAAACGTTCAAGAATCAGACTTTATTTAAATCGCCAGAACACACACACACGCACGCAGGCTCCGGTCGCTATGTTCGTACGCCACATCTTTCACGCTCTCTCACGCTCGTTATTCCAAAGCGCACTCCCGTGTCCGTGGCGCGCACACACTCGTGTCCCACTGAGCCGCTGCACTTTGGGGAAAGACACGTCTCACACATTGCTCTCATTGCTCTGATACAAACAACGTGTTCCCCGCTGTCTGTTAGCTACAGTAGCTGTTAGCTACAGTAGCTGTTAGCTACAGTAGCTGCTACAGTAGCTGTTAGCTACAGCATCAGAATGTAAACAGGAAGCTCGCACAATGCGGGAGTCACTGAAGTTAGTATTAGCGCCACCAGCTGGACCGAGCGTTGTACTACAGCACAGTTACTCAGGCACAGTTGAAAGAACAAGCATGAAAACCCGAGGAGGCTTTTGGAAAAGACTGTCTGTTACAACATTTCTATTTTGAGTAATCAGTTTTAAAAATGTGATATTTCATGATATTTCATGTGTGTTTAATAGGATTGATATATTTGCGATGGGCCTTGTTTGTGTGATTTAAGTTATTTTGAAGGTGCATAGTGTCATTGTAAGTGACGTTATTATAAAACTGTTAAGCTACATTTTCACTGTTTACAATGGCAGAGCCATCTCGTTTACAAGCATGTTTTAAGGCTTAATTCCTGTTACACTTATGCTCCATGGGGATTTAGATTGAACTGCATAAAGGAAAATCTATTTCTTTTTCAGTTGTAGTTTGTTTTTAAATAGAAAAAAATAAATCGATTAAAATCGAAAATCGGATTTGGTGTGAAAAAATCGGAGATTTTTTTTTTTTGCCATATCGCCCAGCCCTAGTTAGAGGAATAGACAACTCAAATTAATTAAAAACACATTCTTTTTTATAAAATATAGGATTATGTTTACTAGAATCTAGAATCAGATTGACAATAATTAACTGTCATGCAATTTTGATATCCACAATTTAAAAAAAAGAAAACCCTGCATAAGGTCTTTAAATTACGTGGTCTGACAACCCCTCCCATGCTGAGGAGATACTACTTGATGGAAAAGCACCCACACTCGGCCTCACCGTGGCGTACCGTACCATGACTATAGAAAAGTGGCATTAGTAGCTGCATTGTGAGTTGTGTCACAATAAATTTAAATATTAATATTAATCCTGTTTCTCAGTCTGGTCCTGGATCAGCAATGGTCCTGGCAGCACTTAGCCTTTGTATTGACCTCATTAGTATCAGCAGGAGTGGCTACAGTTCACTTCCCATCGACCCTGGCCCTCCCATCAACAGTATATGTCCATCCCAGCTGCTTCACAGGGACCAGTGGTCATCTAACTATTCAGACAGAAAAGAGATACAGAGCGGACCACCCTCACTCAGCCAATCAGCTTGTAAAAGATCTCTGAACAGATGAAGACAGCATTTCTGGTCTGATTCTCTAAATGTGCCTTGTTCTGTTTAGCTCCAGCTTTATATATGCGTATCTATCTCCTGTACCATGATCCGTGTGTGATTGCAACCTGTATGATGTGTTTCTGCAGAACATCGGTGCATAGAGTCGGCCAAAATCCGCAGCAAATACCCTGACCGTGTACCCGTGAGTAACACTCTGCACGTCACTATTCAGGCCTCAGTCACTTTCTCACTTTTTCCCCCTTGGGTTTTTGGAGATACTATTACATTTATTTATAGTCTTAACTCGTAACTGAAATCAATCATCAATCAATCAAGCTATATTAGTAGAGTGCTTTTCCTACACAAGGTAGCACAAAGTGCTTCACAGCCCCTATCACATGAACCGCAATTACAGACACAGGTTTTAAATTGATGTATTAAATCACAACAGCAGTCGTCGCTGAGGACTTTACAAAGGGAGTAGGATGACCCCTGTCCAGAAATGTTAAATGTGCAGGAGTGTCCCGGTTCATTACTGTCCTTAGACCCTGCTTCATCGGCAAAGAACAGTGTTGGGCAAGTTACTTCCATCCATCCATCCATTTTCTTCCGCTTTATCCGTTGCCGGGTCGCGGGGGCAGCAGTCTAAGCAGAGACGCCCAGACTTCCCTATCCACACACACTTCCTCCAGCTCGTCCGGGGGGACCCCAAGGCGTTCCCAGGCCAGCTGAGAGACATAGTCTCTCCAGCGTGTCCTGGGTCTTCCCCAGGAAGACTCCTGGACGCCTCCCCAGGAAGGCGTCCAGGAGGCATCCTGAACAGATGCCCGAGCCACCTCAACGGGTTCCTCTCGACGTGGAGAAGCAGCGGCTCTACTCCGAGCTCCTCCCGTGTGACCGAGCTCCTCACCCTATCTCTAAGGGAGCGCCCAGCCACTCTGCGGAGGAAGCTCATTTCGACCGCTTGTATCCGCGATCTCGTTCTTTCGGTCATTACCCACAGCTCATGACCATAGGTGAGGGAGGGAACGAAGATTGACCGGTAAATCGAGAGCTTCGCCTTTCGGCTCAGCTCCCTCTTTACCACAACGGTCCGATGCAGAGACCGCATCACTGCGCACGCTGCACCGATCCGCCTGTCAATCTCACGCTCCATTCTTCCCTCACTCGTGAACAAGACCCCGAGATACTTGAACTCCTCCACTTAAGGAAGGACCTCTCCACCCACCTGGAGAGGGCAAGGCACCTTTTTCCGGTCGAGCACCATGGCCTTGGATTTGGAGGTGCTGATTCTCATCCCAGCCGCTTCACACTCTGCTGCAAACCGTCCCAGTGCATGCTGCAGGTCCTGGTTCGTTGGAGCCAGCAGAATGAAATCCTTTGGTCCCCGAACCGGACCCCCTCCGGCCCGAGGGTGCGCCTAGAAATTCTGTCCATAAATACAGTGAACAGAACCGGTGACAAAGGGCAGCCTTGGCGGAGGCCAACATGCACCGGGAACAGGTCTGACTTACTGCCGGAAATGCGAACACAGCTCTGATTCCGGTCATACAGGGACCGGACGGCCCTCAGCAGAGGACCCCGGACCCCGTACTCCCGGAGGACCCCCCAAAGGACACCCCATGGGAACACGGTCAAACGCCTTCTCCAAATCCACAAAGCACATGTGGACAGGTTGGGCGAACTCCCATGAACCCTCGAGTATCCGATGGAGAGTATAGAGCTGGTCCAGTGTTCCGCGACCGGGACGAAAACCACACTGCTCCTCCTGAATCCGAGATTCGACCATCGGCCGTAGCCTCCTCTCTAGTACCTTGGAGTAGACCTTACCGGGGAGGCTGAGGAGTGTGATCCCACGATAATTGGAACACACCCTCCGATCCCCCTTCTTGTAGAGAGGGACCACCACCCCGATCTGCCACTCCATTGGCACCGCCCCCGATCGCCACGCGATGTTGCAGAGACGTGTCAGCCAAGACAGTCCTACAACATCCAGAGACTTTAGATAGTCAGGACGGATCTCATCCACTCCCGGCGCCTTGCCACCATGGAGGCTGCTAACCACCTTGGTGACCTCAGCCAGGGAGATGGAAGTATCCGCCCCAACATCCTCAGCCTCTGCCTCCTGGACAGAGGACGTGACGGGGGGATTGAGGAGAACCTCGAAGTATTCCTTCCACCGCCCGACAATATCCCCAGTCAAGGTCAGCAGCCCTCCACCCGCACCATACACGGTGTTGGCAAAGAACTGCTTCCCCCTCCTGAGGCGCCGGACGGTTTGCCAGAACCTCTTCGAGGCCGACCGATAGTCATGTTCCATAGACTCTCCAAAATCCTCCCAGTCCCGGGTTTTTGCCTCTGCAACAGCCCGGCCGCGGCACGCTTGGCCTGCCGGTACTGGACAGCTGCCTCCGGAGTCCCACGAACCCGGGGCAAGTTACTTCAAAAACGTAATACATTATGTAATACTTAGTGCTGTTATTTCAAAGTAATGTATATACAGTGCCTTGCGAAAGTATTCGGCACCCTTGAACCTTTCAACATTTTGCCACATTTCAGGCTTCAAATATAAAGATATAAAATTTAAATTTTTTGTCATGAATCAACAACAAGTGGGACACAATCGTGAAGTGGAACGAAATTTATTGGATGATTTAAACTTTTTTAACAAATAAAAAACTGAAAAGTTGGGCATGCAATATTATTCGGCCCCTTTACTTTCAGTGCAGCAAACTCACTCCAGAAGTTCAGTGAGGATCTTTGAATGATCCAATGTTGTCCTAAATGACTGATGATGATAAATAGAATGCACCTGTGTGTAATCAAGTCTCCGTATAAATGCACCTGCTCTTTGATAGTCTCAGGGTTCTGTTTAAAGTGCAGAGAGAACCATGAAGACAAAGGAACACACCAGGCAGGTCCGAGATACTGTTGTGGAGAAGTTTAAAGCCGGATTTGGATACAAAAAGATTTCCCAAGCTTTAAAAATCTCAAGGAGCACTGTGCAAGCAATTATATTGAAATGGAATGAGTATCAGACCACTGCAAATCTACCAAGACCCGGCCCTCCCTCCAAACTTTCATCTTAAACGAGGAGAAGACTGATCAGAGATGCAGTCAAGAGGCCCATGATCACTCTGGATGAACTGCAGATAACTACTGAGGTGGGAGAGTCTGTCCATAGGACAACAATCAGTCGTGCACTGCACAAATCTGGCCTTTATGGAAGAGTGGCAAGAAGAAAGCCATTTCTCAAAGATATCCATAAAAGTCTTGTTTAAAGTTTTCCACAAGCCACCTGGGAGACACACCAAACAAGTGGAAGAAGGTGCTCTGGTCAGATGAACTTTTTGGCCACAATGCAAAATGATATGTTTGGCGTAAAAGCAACACAGCTCAATCACCCTGAACACACCATCCCCACTGTCAAACATGGTGGTGGCAGCATCATGGTTTGGGCCTGTTTTTCTTCAGCAGGGACAGGGAAGATGGCTAAAATTGATGGGAAGATGGATGGAGCCAAATACAGGACCATTCTGAAAGAAAACCTGTTGGAGTCTGCAAAAGACCTGAGACTGGGACGGAGATTTATCTTCCAACAGGACAATGATCCAAAACATAAAGCCAAATCTACAATGGAATGGTTCACAAATAGACGTATCCAGGTGTTAGAATGGCCAAGTCAAAGTCCCCCTGAATCCAATCAAGAATCTGTGGAAAGAGCTGAAGACTGCTGTTCACAAACGCTCTCATCCAACCTCACTGAGCTCAAGCTGTTTTGCAAGGAAGAATGGGCAAGAATTCCAGTCTCTCGATGTGCAAAACTGATAGAGACATACCCCAAGCGACATACAGCTGTAATTGCAGCAAAAGGGGGCGCTACAAAGTATTAGCACAAGGGGGCTAATTTCAGTTTTTTATTTGTTAAAAAAGTTTAAATTATCCAATAAATTTTGTTCCACTTCACGATTGTGTCCCACTTGTTGTTGATTCTTGACAAAAAATTTAATTTTTATATCTTTATGTTTGAAGCCTGAAATGTGGCGAAATTTTGAAAGGTTCAACGGGGCCGAATACTTTCGCAAGGAACTGTATATATCACACTACCCTTTTGCCCTCCGTGGGCAGTTATCCCTCTCTAAGCTCGTCCTCTCCCAGAGGCCTGGGAGCCTGAGGGTTCTGCGCAGTATCTTTGCTGTTCCTAGCACTGCAGATTTCCAAGGTTGTTAAAGGGATCTGCTGTAACCACTCCTCCAGCTTTGGGGTCACTGCCCCATGGGCACTACTTTCACCTTCACCATCCAGACCCTCTCCAGCTCCTCTGAGCCCTTGGTATTTCTCAAGATTTTCATGTTTCGTGTTGATAATATATACATATATATATACACAGTATATATGTATATTGCGTGCATGCTGATGGAACATACTGGTGCAAGGCAACCAGTATGTTCCATCGGCCCCTCCGACCACCACCAACTATTCACACACCAGACTCATTCTAGGCAATGGGGGTGAAGTGTCTTGCCTAAGGATACAACAGCAGTTTGGCACTTTACAGCCGCAGCTGTAGCACTTGGTGTTCCCGGAGGTTAAGTGTCTTGCCAAGAACACAACAACAGCAGACATCAGTGGGAGTCGGTGGAGAAGGTCCCGTGGTGGGCTCGAACCCACGACAGCTCGCTTGTCACAGACACAAAAAACAGACAGTTGTCATTGCTGCTTAGAGCAATAGTTTACACACCAGAAAGTCTCATTCCACCTTTGTTTACACACTAAGATAATTTTAGAGCTACACACCTGAACTAGCCTGGTCGTACCACACCATAGTACAAATTACATTTCGTACTAAGGTCTGAAGGCGCTCCATTGAGCTCCGTTAACAGGTAACTCCTTTTGCAGATTGAAACGATTGGATCTGAGTTTACCCTGACGTATGTAGTGCGCCAGAGTGAGTCGTTAGTGGCAAAGGAGATGGCTAGGCTAAATGCTAACTGAGCCCGTGGGGAGTAGCGCCACAATTTTTTTCCAGCGATTACATTTGCTAAACATTACTCTTGCTCCGGCTTCAACTACTTGATAGAGCCGGACCGGATTACTTTACTATAGCATTTTTTGCCATTGCCAAACTTCAAACTTCCCGTTCGATGCGAACTCTTGACGTCACCCACAACTGACTACAACACCCGCCTTCAGCGCTCGCTGATTGGTCGGTCGAAATTCAAGCGATTGTAATCCCTAACATGGGGACCATACCCAGGCGTTACATGCAGTGAAATGATGATTGATAGGAGTGTATGGATGGCTAAGGCCAGGCTACACCTGAACCTAAGCCACAGAATTATCTCAGCAATAGTGACTGTCAACTGATGTAATTAAATTTTAATCCACTAGATGTCGCCAGAATTCTCCAACTCGGTACTGGGGCATGTGTAAAGCCGTGTTCAGACCAGATCATGCCTTGCGGCAACTTTTAATGCTAAGTCAATGGTTAGGCGTTTTCGAGCGTGGAACTACATGTGCGTCTCGGCACGCACGCACGGTAGAGATGCACGGACTGTGCGGTATTGACGCACGGACTGCGCGGTAGAGGCGCAGCAGAGGCGCAGGAGTAGAAAATCAACGCACGCAGGAGATAAACATTGCTGAACGTTTCCTCTGGACGCTCGTGCAGCGACCAATCAGAGTCGCAAAGTGGTCACGGGGACATCACGAGTATTTTTTTTAGTCTGCCCGCTAGACCGTTAGACAGCCAAAACAGGAGCTACACCAGGACTCAACCAGGGTTGACAATGGGGGACACAGTGCTTGTGAACATATGCATTCTCATGCTGCCGTGACTGTATACAACTGCTTCTAGCGTGTTCGCCGATGCGGAAGTACCGTTTGGAGGAGCGTTGGCGGTCTGAACGGCCCTGAAGACTTGGATGGATTTATACCACTGGCACAGAGAGACGCACGTCACACATACCAACTGACGTCCACCATCACTCCAGAGCGAATGGAGAGGCCAGGCACCAAATTCAAATGTAGTACTACCAAAAAGGTAGAGAGGGCGCCACACAGACGGTTTTAGGCTAACAAATTTGATTTAAAAAGTAAGATCTAATTTGCTCTAAAATGTCAATAAAGGACCAGGATATGTAGAGAGCACTATAAGAAACATATTTATGCAGTTTGAGTTAAAAAACTTTGATTTGGGGTTCACTGAAAGATCTCAGCTCCTGTGGACTCACCACCTGCAGGAGGATCAGTGAGGGGCTGGTGCTCTGTGTACTGGGTGCAGCTCTGACGACCACCCCCCTCGACCCAGAAATGGATTAAGGGGAAGAAAATGGATGGATGATTTGGGGTTTAGTTATTCTGTTATGTATTGTTTTGTTCTATATCTTTGTCTCCCACAAACTCTAGATAATGGAAGTCCATCTGTAAAATATACCATTATCCAACATATCTGCTTCAGCTTCAGCCATCTTCTGCCACAAGGGTCACCAAGTCATTTTGTGCATAGAGGTGATGTCCCCTCATGCAAAACGCTTGTAACTGTGCTCCTCTGCCTGTGAGTCCCCACCTGCATGCATGGTGACGTAGCATCACGCTAAGTTCGAGGTAAACAAAAGCTATCTGTACAGTTTTTGCTGTTACATAGTCATCTCACCTGAATTTCTCCTACGGGGGATCAATAAAGTATCTATCTATCAGATCTGAGAATACACTTATTCCAACAATGGCAATCCATCACATAGAACCTTATGTCCTCGAATACAGAATCAGACCCGTATTATTTAGTTCACAGTCAGATATAGTGAGTTAGTTGCATTTTACTCACAGACCGAGGCTCCTGTTCGCCTCGTTTATATTGGGAATAACACAGATTTCCAGATCAGCTTTTGAGTAGGTCGCATTTCAAGGTAGCCGTAGTTCTGGAACAGTCTTTGGTGGTGTCACCCAAAAAAACATCCGAGTTTCGTTGCGGATTTCAGACTCGCGGATTCGAGGCAGATTCCGGTGAACAAAGTTGATCTCCATTCTCTGTCTTCGGGCCAAATACTGTCGTCACATATTTACACCCAAAAACTCACTAACACAAAACGGCACAGATGAGTATTTACTGTCTATGGAGCAGACACTGGACTCGGAGAGAGGCTACAAGCGCTGATTTGCTGGTTCAGTTTCTCCTCGCAGTCAATCAGATCAAATCAAATCAAAATCCGTGAGGAACTTCATTTACAGACGAAGCACCGGTGGGGGTACACAAAAACACAGAAGCACACAACCTATCACTCACCTCTGCTGCTTTCAGACCGCACATTTGTGACAGACGCTGTGGAAGAGAGCGTTTTGGAGGGGCAGAGTTAAAATGCAATGTAACTTACTTCGTACAGAGTAATTATTACCCATTTTTTCAATTGTAATGCGTTACAGCAAAAAGTAATACATTACAGTAATTACATTACTTTTGTAATACATTACTCCTAACACTGGAAAGAAACCACTCAGAAACCTAGGACTGATGCAATAGATCCAGGACTGAGGCTGTTTTCCTCCTGTGTCTCTGCTGCAGGTCATCGTGGAGAAGGTTTGTGGCTCTCAGATTGTGGACATAGATAAGAGGAAGTACTTGGTGCCGTCTGACATCACTGTGGCTCAGTTCATGTGGATCATCCGCAAGAGGATCCAGCTGCCCTCAGAGAAGGCCATCTTCCTGTTCGTGGACAAGACCGTGCCTCAGTCCAGGTCCCTTCAAAACACTGACCATACTGACTCTCTCTGGTCTCTCTTTGGTCTCTCTCTGGTCTCACCTGGTATTTCCTTTTTGTGTGTGTGCAGCATCACCATGGGGCAGCTGTATGAGAAAGGGAAAGATGAAGATGGCTTTTTATATGTGGCGTACAGCGGAGAAAACACTTTTGGATTTTAAACGTAAAACGGCCAGACATCATTTTGTTTGTCTTCCATCCCCCACTTGGCAAACACGTTCTCAACGTTCAGAACGACTTGGATATCCTGTTTGTATCTGGATCAGAAGTAGATCAGTAAACATGCTATTCTATTACATCTCTTTGTCACATTACCACCACAAACGTCAGTATTTTAGAGTTTATAATTTCCTGAAAGAGCAACAAAGTATCAGACAACTGTGAAGTAAATAAGGAATGAGACAAGATTTTGGTAACCTGAAAAGTGTGGGTTTAAAAATAATATTCCGTTTTCTGCTCCATCTACCTTCACACAACTCTAAAGCAGTATCAAAACATGATGCTTTCACCCCCATGTTTGACACTTGGGGGCCTCGTGCTGGATCATTGTTGTCCTTGTTGGAGCTGTTATTTTTGGTAGACAGCTGAGTCTTGGTAGATTTGCAGTGATGTTTCCATTCCCACATAATGAATTGAACAGTGATCTGCGAGTTGTTCAAAGATTTGGAAATATTTGTATAACTTCACTATGACCATAGACCTCTCTGGGGCTTCATAATGCTGTTTAGTATCTAGGGATCTGCGGCCTCACTCCACAGCTGTCTGTTACTTGTGGGATGTTCACTGAAAAATCGCTGTTTACTATGGTAAACATGTATTTCCTAAATTATTTATAGATTTAATGAGTCCTCACTCTCAATGGTTTTTAGAGGTGATTTCTTTTGAGACATTGGAATAGAAGTAGTTTCATAAGGGGAGGATCCTGAAACTGGAGCTAACAGTCCCACCATCAAACCTTTGAGGTACTTTCCCATAGTTAAACCCAGATATTGGTCTTAGAGACAGTGGAGCCCCCTGTTGTTCTCAGTTCTGTCTTCACTTCTTTAACATCAACCCAAACCAATATACTTTCACAAATTAGTTAGAGAGAGAGAGAGACACACAGAGAGAGAGACACACACAGAGAGAGAGACACACACAGAGAGAGAGACACACACACAGAGAGAGACTACTTCTACGGGATAGAAGGGTCAGCCCTAGACCTGGCCCCTGGAGGCTCCAGACGTTTCAATGTCCTTTACACGTGAAGTAATATGTTGATGAAGTTTGAGTTTTTCCTGACGATATATTCTGCAGTTTTGTTTTCAAGTTTGATAATTTGTGTTTTTGCTTTTGTTGTTTTGAAGACAATATTTAAAGAGTTTAATTTAAATACTTGAAGGTTGAGGGAGCTGGATGACCTGACCAATAAAACTATACGACACTGCCTTTGGACTATGTATTCATTCACTACTAACTCTATGGTGGCAACTAAAGCTGGGGTATGCCACTTTAAAGCTGGGGTCCGTAACTTTCAGACCACATTAGACCTCTGTAATAAATCTGTGTCTCAAGTTCCTGCTCTAATACATTTTGCTTCTATTACAAGTTTTTACTTAATTATTTTTTGGCCTGTTAAATCTTTAAAGTAGATTTTTCAGGACAGAAAAGTCAAAAAGAAAGCTGCTTCCTACTAACAAAAGCAGTCTTTCTTTCCAAGTATTTGATTTTAACCTGGGGTACCTCTTTTTCTATATAATTAAAATATTTTAAACTATATCAATATCTCAGATAAAGCGCAACCAATTCATGACTTGAATAAACATTTCTTTTGTCTCTACATGTTATTTTACAGAAGCCAATGCAATTTCAAGCGTTTATGCATTTTCCATGCAGATTTACTCAACTTCAAGATTTAAACTTTGTCATCTCCCTCTAGTGGCTGAAACGCAATACACCATATTTTCTGGGTTAAATCAAACTGGTCATCTGCAGATACTGCTAGCCTCTGGTTCTGTTCTAGTCCTGGTACAACAGCTGTGGACCAAAAAATGGCCCGGACATTTTCGCTTTGACAGTTAGGGCATTTTTGGTTTTTTTCATGTTTTTTCAAGGTTATTTATATGGTATGTGGAATACTGTAGACTAGTGCAATCGTCTATCTTACAAGAGAGTAATACAGGAACCTTGATTATTCAGCAGGGGCTTCAGGCAATGTGGGGTTAAGTGTCTTGCCCAAGGACACAACGACAGCAGTCATCAGTGGGAGTCATGAAGTAGGTCTTGAACCCACAATCCTCAGGCTCCCAAGGCCAATGCTCTACCAACTGGCAAGGCAAGTTTATTTGTATAGCACAATTCATACACAAGGCAACTCAAAGTGCTGAACAAGATAGCATTAAAATCATAAATAAATCACAGAACATTAAAAAGAAAGATAAAAACATAAAATCCCTCAGTTGTATGCGCAGCTAAACAGCACAGTTTTTAACCTGGTTTTAAACATTGTCAGAGAGGAGGCCTGTCTCACATCTTCAGAAGATTGTTCCAGATTTTAGCAGCATGAATCTGAAAAGCAGCCTCCCCATGTTTAGTTCTGACTCTGGGCACTAGCATATGGGGTGCCGATTGTAAAAATTCTGTTAAAATTTTTTAGCTGAACATTTTTCTACATTTAGCTCACTTTCCTCACATTTAGCACATTTTCCTCACATTTAAGACAGACATTCATGTAAAACAACACGTTATATGTAGTTGTCAAATACATGTTAAATATTATATATATATATATGTTTATATCTAAATCTAAATGTGAAATGTTATATCTAAATGTTAAATGTTATATCTAAATGTTATATCTATATCTAAATGTTATATCTAAATGTTAAATCTAAATGTTATATCTATATCTAAATGTTATATCTATATCTAAATGTTATATCTATATCTAAATGTTAAATCTAAATGTTATATCTAAATGTGTCGCCAAGTGTAAAGCTAAATATATAGAAAATATTTAAATCCACAAGGAAACCACGCCCACTGCAGTGGCTTCAAATCCAGTGGCTTCAAATCCAGTGGGGGGTCCGCCCCAAGCCCCGGCGATCCAAGATGGCGCCCTATTCAAATGAATGGTTGTGCTCAGTGGCGCTTGTCACTCCCGTATTCGTCCCGGAAACCGGATTCGTCCGGAAGTTCAGTTTGATCCAATGAGCATACGCAGCAGTAGATTACGTCACGGAATCTGGACGGAAGCGGCAGTAAATATAAAAAACTACCTATTCATGCCTAAACTTAACCAGCCATTCCCATAAAATAACCCCACCCCAGCCTTAACCCTAAACTTAACCATCTTAATCAGACGCCTAAACTTAACCAGTCACCACTTAAGGACATATTAAACTTTTTGACATGCGCAAACTGAACTTCCGGACGAATCCGGTTTCCGGGACGAATACGGGAGTGACACGCTTTGTGACGGCATGGGGGCTGAAAGATTGGCGGAAGTTGCCTGAAACTCGCAAAGATCTATGGGAAACTCGCCTGTATTTGGGCATCATCTGGTCCTCCCGGTTCTGCGCAGTGGATGATCTCCCATAATGCATTGCGTCAAACACGCGTGTGTGGGTCTCACACCGGGTCTCATGCACGTGCACAGAGGGGCTCGGCCGCGCTCTGACCAATCAGAGCAGTTCATCAGAGCGGGAGTTAGAGCGAGAGCCAGAGGAGCAGAGTTTGTGGCACTAAAGTGTGGATTTAATTTAAGAAGAAAAAAATTTAAGAAGAAAAAAAGTTCAGGATGACAAGGGACACTAAAATCCCCACAAAATCCGACCTTTATGAAAGCTGTAGGTTCTCTGTCAGCTGAGGTCGAGCTGTTTTAATTTGCATTGAGTTCTATGGGGAAAATTTCTGTGTAGCCCACGTGAATTTAGTCTGGTTCAGTCGGGTGCGTACCGATGTTCCCCGGGTCCGATGTTCCCCGGGTCCGATGTTCCCCCACTTCTATAGGCGGGGGAACATCGGACCCGGGGAACATCGGTACTTCGCGTATTAAAAAGTCCCGATGTTCCCCGGGTCCGATGTTCCCCCGCCAATAGAAGTGGGGGAACATCGGGACTTCAACAACGAGACTAGTCCCGCTGTTCCCCGCGTGCGCCCTTTGATGCTTGATGTTTCCTCCTCCACGAAATATGGCATATGATCCGTGCCAACTTTTGTGAGAGAAAAAATACTAACTAGCCTAAGCCTATTTACTTTTCTTTTTCCCTCTCGCTCTTTGTGTGCTCATATTTCAGCTGATCGCAGCTTGAGTCTATGCAGGATATTTTTGGGCATGTTATGGGCATGTTATCTCCCCTTGCTCTCCCATGGGCATCTATATTTGACAAGTCTGACTGAATAAAATGAGGACGATTGAAACTAGAGCTACTACATCTGTTAGCCTATAGTTTTTACAAATACGTGGTTTTGCTGAGGGCACTGTGCTTTTACGCATAATGGACACGCATATGACGTCGTTTTTGTTGTAAAACTTGAATATGCTCTTTTAGTTTTAGAGATATTAATACATATTATTCTATTCAGAATGCGTGCGTCATTGTGCATTGTTGTCCCGCCTTACGTGTCACTCACAGTTAAAATGTAAATAACCAATTCAAACATAGCATTTTTACAACTTGAACTTTAAGAAAAAAAATGATCAAAGGAATCAGTGTAAAATAAGATCCGAAAAGCTCAATTCATGATTGTTTAATTAGGTTTCCCATTTTTAAATACAATTGGAAACGCTCAGAATTCAAAAATATTGAAAAGTGTATTGGCTCCTACAGTGGGGGGAATAATAATAATAATTATAATAATAATATAACCCCCTGAGCGTCATCACGTTCCTACGTTGCTTCAAATATAGTCCTGTTTATTGGCTGAACAATTTTGTCCAATATCACACAGCGTGAAGCGAGAACAACCAGCTATTCCTTGTCTTAAAGATTGACAACGCTCTTAAAGCATTCACAACAGAGCAGCCTTTATCATTTTAATTTTAAGAAAGTTCAGCGTGAACTTTGTGAGGTAGAGGAGCCAGAGGCCCGGGCCCGTATAGGTCCCAGAGGAGGAGAGCGCGGTCAGGCCAGGCTCGCACTGATGAGGTAAACATAGGCCTGTGTGAGACACACTGTGG